TTTTTCTGTGTCTTTGCACCACCAGATAATATGAATTGTATTTGATGTGTCTTACAAATAAAATATTTTCAAATATTTAATACATTAAATTGTGTATTTAAAAATATATATTACAAAATGTTTTTTTTACAGATAAAATGATGCATTGGGAGAACAATGGGTTGATGTAGAAATAAATTTTTAAGAATGGCAAATAAAAAAATAACAATGTCAGTACATATCAACAAATTAATAATCACATTTTCAACAAAAAAAAAACTTTTATATTTAATTTTTTTCAGGAAATTCAATATTATTATTAAAAAATGTTCAAGCAGATGGTATATGGCAAAGAAATTATTATCATAACAAATTATAAAAATAAAATCTTAACAAATACCTTATGTAGAAGCTAAAATAAATTATAAGTTAAAATAGTAAATATTATTTATCTGAGCTTCTTCCAGATTTGATAATAAAAGAAGGTAAAATTTAGTTATTAATAAATTTATTAGTATATCTCTGCAATACACAGATATTCTGTATCACACATACTAAATCATAAAAAAATCATTTTAAAAATACTGAATCATCTTACAAAAGAAACTAATAAATATATAATCATTATGAATTCAATAATAATTAAAATCTTATTTACTCAACTAAATAAAACAATATTTCTAAAAATAAAATATGACAACCGAATAGGATTGTTCTCTTAATGATAATATTTTTTTTTTCTATTTCTATTTTTGTGTGTGTATTGATTAAAATATAAAAGCAAATTTATTATAAAGAAAGTAAATCAAAAAAGATCTGACCCTTTATTATGAAGAAAAAATTAAAACATAAACATTGCAGAGAGAAAAACATTAAAAAATTATCAGAAATGGTCTTTACAAAACAAAAGAGCTTAGAGTAAAAGTATTAATTAAAATTAATGTTAAAATTAATAAGAATTAAACCTAATCAAAAATGAAATTATACAAAAAGTAAGCTTTATAGTTTTAGAATCTTGCAGACAGGGTATATGTTAAAGAGTAAATTAGACAACAACAGAAAACTAGAGCAGAATGCTAAAAAAAGCAAAATTTATTGTACTCTTTATTACTATAAACAATAAATAAGAGACATAAACATAATTGAGATCGATAAAAAAAACTGAATGAGAGTGAAAACAAGGCAGCAAAAAACATACAGAAAAAAAAGGTAGGTAGGTGCAGGTGTAACTATCTTCTATTATCTTAATATGTAAAACATAAAATAACGTGAAATAAAAAAGCAATATATCTGTCCATTTATCATAAAAAATAAGTAAAAATTTGGAATAGATATCAAGAGTCGATTCAGGAGGAAATCAGGGCCTCTTCACAACACTCAAATTCAGAAAAACGTGTCATTCACAAATTCTAATTTGTAAAAACAGCCCCTTCACAATATTCAAATTTGTAAAAACTGCATCTTCGTGAAACTTCACATTAAGAAAATAATCGCACAAAATTGCTAACTGGCGGATTCTCTGAAAAACTATTGGAAACGATGTGATTTTACAGCAGTCACGAATAGAACATGTCTAAACTCAAATATCGTATTAATAATATCGGAGTTTGATGAAACTGGTGAAAAAATAATAGCTGTTGAAAAAACTATATGGGAACGAACAAGCCAAAAAGTGATAACTCGAAATACAAATTAAATAATCATAATAACATCGTATTAAAAATATCGGAATCAGAAGAACCATGTTAAAGGAGCGAATCTATTCGGGATTCATATCATTACATATTAAATATATAGAAATTAATTTGAAAAACAACATGGAGCGGCCAATAAACTGTTTAAAAAAAAAGTTAATTTACAAAAAAGAAAGTAGTGAATTCTAAAACTGAATGCTAATTAAGAAATTTTCTGAAAAATAATTTCCATTTTTCACAAAAGTAGACCCTAAAAACAAAACCTGGATTGACCCTAGAATATCATAGTTAAAGCTTCATAATTTCCAAGTGGAACAGCAATCGCATGCTTCTCACAAATTTTTAACACGAGAAAAGTTTAAATACCTTCATTTATCAAGCCTAGATGATAGAATATTAAGCAAATAAACAATAAAAAACATTAATTAATAAGAGATAAAATATTATTTATCAGAATAAATTTCCTAATCACAAATAAAAATAGACAATTTTAAGTCATAGACAATAGACAATAACCCCTTTCCAGATGAAGTTTTTTTAATTGAAATACCTTAGGCATGACACCACTACATGAAATAAGGCTTTCTGCGAAATGTGTTAAAATAAAACTCTTGCGCTGGAAATTTGCCCCATGGAAAATGTTGCAGTGATATCCAATGAAGAGTAAACTAGATCAAAATATATGAAATTAAGTACTTAATATGTTTTAAAAGCACCTGAAGTATTCATATGAGCATAAAACTAAATGGGTATAACTGAAATATGTTTATTACCAGCAAATTATTTTACATACAGCAGTGTTCTCTCTAGGTACTTTCGTAAGGGCCATTCGCCCTGCCTGCTTTCATCCCATTAAATACGCCCTTTCTGTAAAAATAAGCTTTAAGGGATGGCATCCCTTAAAGAAGATGCCTATTTATTCATATTCCACAATAAAAAAAAATTAATTCACTGTTTAAATAATAATTACACACTGGTAAAATTATCGGTAATAGGTTTGATAGGAGGTTGTATATCTGCTTATAGGTTTAATTGTGATTGCAATTATAAATATTTACTTTGTCAAGATTCGCAACTGGTTTTTTCTTTCGGGTGATCATTAATAACTTTTTTTAACGTTTACCTTTTTTAAAGCAAAATTGCATTTTAAAAAATTCATTTTCTCACAATGTTTTTAACTTAAAGTATAGAAAAAATATTTCAAGTTATTTATCAATTAATCATTTTTTTGCCTAGATTATTGAAGTTTTTGAAATAAAGTTCATACTTTTTCCCTGATGACTTTGTTTTACTTAATTTCTCACGGTTAATTAAATTTTTTTTAATAAAATCAAATTTTTTTTCTTAATCTAATTTTTTAACATTTGCCATACATAAAACAGTATAAGAGGGTTATTTAAAAATTTTTGGGGGTAAAAATAAGTGATTACATAACATTACACATTTTGATAAATTTTTACTGTGTTAAGTGAATGCCCATTTAAAATACAAAATGCTCTTTTAAGAAAGAAAGCGCCCGGTTCTTTTTTATTCCCAGCGAGAATTCTGCATACAGCTAATGTAAAATTTTAATTTAACAGTTTAATGTTACTTTTATCCACTTTTAGCGTCTAATTTTAGGGGAGATTTCCGTATCGTGATCTGTGGCAAAATAATTGCCAAGTCTTGGCAACTTCCGGGCAGGGGCCTGGGAGAAACTTTAAAAAAAAAAAATCACAGAAAGGGACCAACTCAAAAGGTATAAATCGTAGCCGTCCCTGGGCAAACATCTACATGTTTTTCTAGAAATCTATTCGGCACTTCTGCGATTGTAGTTGGTGAGACAGATCATAATACGGATATATCCCCTTATTTTATTTATTTATTAGCCTGTTTTGAAAATTAATAATTATAAAAAAATTACACCCTAAGAAATATATTTATAAAAATATTTCCAATTTATTTTAGAAAACTATTTCCATTTTATTTAACAAAAAATCAGTTCTAGATTTAAATCAATGATTTTTTTTAAAAAAAAGTCAAATAATTTAAATTGCAGTGACAACCCTGATTAAGACTTGCTGTGGATCTAATGGGACATATTTAAATCAACATTAAAAATAGAGTCATAGTACATAGATAAGGAAAGTCAATTATTTTAAAATTTTATTAGATGTTTTATTAGACATATTTCACAATGCAAAGTACATAAACTTAATATGTATCAATTACTTTATGTTACAGTTTGAAAAAATGAAATCGAGATACTAATTATTAGATAATGTAAAATTGTTTAAATTTTTTTAATAAATTCATGAATTCACAAAAGCATTGAATCCAGCGGTAAGGTTATAGGCCTGAAACATGCATATAATTAGCGAACAGTCATCATGTTAGAACCATCTAATTTTGATGAAAGTAAAAATATACTAGATCGAAAATTCAAACATTTCAATTCCTCACATCAATGACTTAAAATTTGCATTTGTATTCATAGAACTTGGGTTGTTTTGAACACACACCAAAATCAAGACAAAATATTTTTTATCAGGAAAATCAGGACAACTACCGTATCCTGAAATACCAGCCCATTCAACATGTCTCTTTTTCATAAGCAACAAATTAAAAAGATATTTTTTTTGTCGAAACATCAAACATATTTGTGAATGTTAATAATTATTTAATAAATTTTAAGTTCGAATTCATCATAATTGTAAATAATAATTGTTGTTAAAATTATAATTATTCATTCATAATAATTGTTAAATCGACGTTTTCGAAATTTTCATTTCAGTTTTCAACAAAATTTCACTAAGATTATTTGCAAGTAAATACAATATTCATTACCAGATTTGCAAAAGTGCCCCATGATAAAGAAGATCAAGTTGCTGATAAATGGGAACTAGGAGCATATTTTTGCTTTAATACTCATGTAGCTGTCTCCCAGATTTTTCGACGTCTATCAGGACTAAAGTAAGCTAAATACTCTCCATTATCGGTGTATGCTGTTAAATTTCGTACAAGTGACATAATATATTTGTTTTCAGAAAAATATCTGATTCCACAGAGTACTTTAAGTGAATAATTGTAGATAGTACAGTTGTGATACGAATTTCAATAACTCCATATTGTTTGTGTTGACAAATAAAGTGTTGCCAAATTATTTTTATATCTTACAGAAAAACAGTATTGCCGTTCACATTATTAACTTTAGAAATTAACTCAATTTATTACTGCGCACTCTAGTATTATTTTGTTGAACTAAAAAGATACAGCTGGAAAGCATACAGTTACAAATAAGTGTAATTTCTTTGTGTAATAAGCCTTGACCTATATCTCTTAAAAGTTTTGTTTTAACTATCTGGCAACACTGTTTTTGTCTTCTTAAAGTTTTTAATATTTTTCCACACCCACAGTTAACGTAATACGTAATAATTTTTCTCGACTTGCTACGGAGGAGATTACAAACACTATATTTTACATTATAGATTACGTTTAAAATGGCTGAAGATATTAAAGAGAATATGAGTGACGGTTTGGAAGTTCCGGAAATAGAATTAATCATCAAGGCTTCCACCATTGATGGGCGTCGAAAAGGTGCATGCCTTTTTTGCCAAGAGTACTTTATGGATTTGTATCTTTTAGCCGAGCTGAAAACTATATCCTTAAAAGTAACTACAGTGGATATGTTAAAACCACCGCCCGATTTTCGTTCCAACTTTGACTCCACTCCTCCACCCATCCTCATTGATCGTGATCAAAACGTCCTAGAAAACGAGAAAATAGAGCGGTACATCATGAAAAATGTTCCGGGCGGACACAATTTGTTCGTTCAGGATAAAGACACCGCTACAGTTATTGAAAATCTTTATAGCAAATTTAAATTGATGCTGACGCGGAGGGATGAGCAAACGAAGCGGGCATTGCTCAATCAGCTTCGAAATATTGATGCCCACCTGGAGAAGAAGGAAGGACGGTTCTTGACAGGAGACACAATGTGTTGCTTTGATTGCGAATTGATGCCTCGTTTACAGCACATCAGGATTGCTGGCAAATATTTCGCCGATTTTGAGATTCCAGAAGATTTGCGTAATCTTTGGTACTACATGGCACGTATGTACCAGTTGGATGCATTTACCCAGTCCTGTCCAGCTGATCAGGACATTATTAATCACTACAAACTGCAGCAGGGTACAAAAATGAAGAAGCATGAAGAGTTGGAGACGCCAACTTACACTACATCCATTCCTGAAGGAATTCTGGAGTAAATAGATCCATAGGCTTATTAAAAAAGAAAAAAAAAAACTGCACGCTTAATTAATATATTGTATTGTTCATTCCTCTGGTTATTTTTTCACAAATTGCCTCTTAATATACTTGTAAGTGAAAAAGTTCTAAATTTGTGTTACCAAATATCACATGTTAAAATAGAATAGTACATTTTAAGAAGGCTTACTAACCTTAAGCCAAGAAAAATAGGAAACTTAGAATCCTATATATTTTATGTTACATCCTGTTTTAGAGAAGAAGAAAGTAGTTGGTGTACAGGACAATTTTATAAGAAATTTAGACAGTTTTTTTTTGCATTTATGTATGTAATATTTACAATGTCCATATTGCATTCCAGGTTTTTAATTTTTAGCATAATTTTGCTATGTAATCCTGTCTGAGTGCCTTGTATTATAGATATTTTGCACATACTTGTAGTTTTATTTTGTGAATTATTTGTGCACATTTCTAGCATCTTTTTATGAAAATAAAAAAATTTCTGAGCTATAAGAAATAATAACATTTATCCCAAGTTATTAACAATAATGATCGTTCAGTTTATTTATATAAGTAACTGAAAATTTTATGTATGGTATTCAGGCCAAGTAATTTTATTGAGTGCTAAAAAATATATAAATATAATAAATTTATTTTGTGAGGGTTTTGGTAGTTTTTTAGAATTAAAGACTTTCCAAAATAAATTTCTGTTACCGCATATGTTGCAATTAATTCTAGTTGCTTTTCTATTTCGGCATTTCTACTGAGTAAAATTTTCCCATATAATCTCTTAAGAATACTAAAGTTTCAATTCCATCTTCTACTAGAAAAAGAAAAAAAAAATTTTATGTGATAAATGTATATTGATAAAATTAAACTTGTCATGAATCAGTTTCCTAATTTATTAATCTTCTTATCCAGATGTTAAATATGGACACAAATAATCAAAGGCACTACATCACTTTGCTTATAGCTTTATTTTAAGAATCCAAGAAAAAAAATCTTTGCACAATTTGTTCAAATTATTCTTTTTGCTATATAATGTCTGGACCTAAGCAAGGAAAGAACTTTTTTTATTTAATTGTGCTGTCTCTAGAGCTGTTTTGTATGTATTATAGTTTATATATATTTTCTTTTATTTTAAAGTCTTAAAAGATGTATTTACAAGGTAGTTGAGTAGAACTTTTTGAATATGTTTACACAGAGTATAGGAAAGAGGTCACTTGTATTTTCCTATATTTATCTATACCAATGCTGAACTTTTTTTTTTAAACATGTTTTTCAATTTGCTAGTTTAATTATGTGTTTTTAAAATTATATAATGTTAATTTATAGTAAAATAAGGCTTTCAATCAATATTTAAAAAAAAATTATTTTGTATTAATATCAACATTAATGATACATCTTTTTAAATTTCTCAAAACATAAGTATAAAAAATTTTGTAAATAATTTTGACTGTGATTTTTTGTTTCAAAAATTAATAAAATTACATAAAGATTATTTTGTTTCTAAAATAATTATATCATTAAGAAAAAAAATTAGCTTGTTTTATATTAGTCTCCTTTTTTTTATTTATCTTTGTTTAAATCAAGAATTAAAAAAAAAAATTGAGATTAAGATAACTCTGTTTATTTTTTTATATATTAGAGTTTTAAAAAAAATGTAAATATGATTTATTTTTCTTGTCTTTTTGTGTTTCCGCAAAATATGAAAACTTTTTTCAATTGATTGCTAGTTTTTTTACCTATTAATGGTTGTAAAGAAATATATTTTACTTTATTTTATGATTGTTATTATAATTTATTTTCCTCTAAAATATATTGCAGTACATTTTTGTTTCAAATTATGCAAGTGATTTTACTAGCCAAAAATTAGGCACAACTGCATTCAAAGATCGTCAACTTTGTTAATATTTAAGTATTTTTCTTTATAGGGAATAATGTTATACTTGCATTAAATAAATAATTTTTTTTTCCACTTATACTACTCTAATATTTTATAACACATCAGTTTTATCTTTAGAAAATACTGTTTTTGTAAGTTGGGAAATTGTTGAAAGTACTCATTAACGTTGCATTATACTTTTAAAAAATATGTTGAATGGTGATACTGAAGGATAGTCCAAATTAGCTGAATCAAAATCTCAACATTTTGTATTTTATTTTTGTTAAAAAGTAAAATTTCTGAGTGGTTTATTATTGTTATGAAGTATGGCAAACATTGAAAATGTGTAATGTACTTGATTCGCTAAGAGATATCAGTCCTATAATTTTATTATATAATCTGAAATTTATTCTCAATTGAAATCTGTATTATTAAATCCTTTATTTAATACTACTATTAAAATGTTTTTGTAGAAATGAGTTATTACAAGAAAATGTATAGACAGGTTGATAAAATATTCCAATATATTGACATAAATAAGACATTTTTTTACAGGTGGTGAAACTTTCATGGAATGTTTTGTAAAAATCATAGCAAAATCATCTATAGTTTTTTATTTCTATTTTTTAATGAAATTGCTTATTTTTAAAATTTATGCTTATAACTTTTGTAGTTGGTCTTCCATAGTTAATTAGTTTATTGAAATAATTATACTATATAAGAAATCATAAATTTGTATTAAATTTTAATGTATGTCTCCAATTTGTTAGTGAATAAACATTTAATGATATATTTTTTTATATTTGTATGGTTTTATCTTTTTTTTTAAAAAAAGGTAGATAGTATTAATGGAGCTTTTGAAATGAGCTAAATATGATGGTACTTTTATACAGACTGAATTTAACTATTTTATGTGATCATTTTATGCTTGAATCTTTTCTAATAAAATGATACTGTTAGTAAAATTTACAAATTAATGATGTTGAATATTACTTATATTTTTTAAAAAAAAAACTTCTTAAAAATGCTTCATATCATATTTGTATGAATTTAAATATTTTTTGTTTCCTAAATATATTGAGTACTTAATTATATGTGTCATAAAATATTTGTTTTTCTCTTTTAATTTTAATATGCTTCTAGTGTTGTCAGATATATTCGTTTATCCATTAAATCTGTCGTTTAACTGATACTGAAATATGCAATCAAACTGAAAGTGTTTATCTTAGATGTAAGGAAATCTAGATTAGCATTTAATGTATAAACTGAAGTTAAAGTGATAAACTTTTTATGAATTTGTAATGCTCTTTGCAGACTAATGTTTTTGAAATAAAGTTCATATTTTTTCCCTGATGACTTTGTTTTACTTATTTTCTCATGGTTAACAAAATCACAATTTTTTTTTAAATAAAATAAAATAGTGTCCCTTTTTTTTTCTCCATTAAAATCAAATTTTTTGAAATTTTCTATTGGAATCTCTAATGAAATATATTGATTTTTAATATTATATAAAAGCAATATAATTAAACATGGTACATAGCATTTTTAAAAAGTGCTTAAAGGTGCTCACTTTTGATTTACATTTTTTAAAGGGGCTTTTAAAAAGGCTCGATTGTCCTTCTAAATTACAAAAAATGCATCACGATTTTCTATGCAATATTTTTCTGAAACTAATTTTTATCATGATTATGTGAAGTTTGTGTGAATGTTCTGAATTTTATTGATTTTATGTTCATAAATTAAAAACTTTAAACGATAGAAAAAATTAATTTTTATTACTGCACAGATCTTAATGAGTTTTTTTTTTTGGAAAGTTATTAAAAATATTTTTTGAGTGCTCAAAATGTACTTAAAAGGTGTTTATTTTTGTTGAAAATTCTGGCTACGCACCCTATTAAAGTTCTTATGTAACTTTTCCTTTTTATTTATTAGTCTTATTTTAACATCAAATAACAATTCACATATTACCCCATATCATTGTTTTTTAAAAATCAAGTGATTTGAATCGTGCCAGCTCAGCTTTTTTTTTACCTATAATATCTATGTATATGGGTATGAGAATTCATTAAAAAATTAAGACTGCATCTGATTTTTCAGTAAGTGTAAAAGAAAAAATAATAATGAATCTCATTAAAATGCTGAATGCATAGTCAAAACCTCATCAACAAAGATAGGATGCTCTAAATGTTTTGGTTTAGGATTTATATTTAAAGAATTAAAATTTAGTTGAAAAGTAGGGAGTTGCTAATTTTAGCAGTCTTAACAATGGTGAGGCTTCATCATATGGTTCTTGTGTGAATTAAAATAGGCCTAAATTACTTTAAGTGTAATAGTTAACGTGCAAAAACAATAATTTATTGCAAATTTAAGTACTATCTGAAGACTTCAAGACATTAACAAAACTATATTTTTCATGTCAAAAACATTTAAGATTTGTCCTCTGAAAAAATCTCGTCTTTTTATTTATACAATTAATAAAAGTAATGATATTTTATGTTTGCTCATTTGCTACTACTGTTTCCGATTTTTTGGCTATGGAACCTTAAAAAATCGAGCTTCCAGTATTGTATATATATATAATTTAAAAAAAAACTTATTAGTAGCAATGAATATATTGAGCAAAAAAGTCATTATTTTGGAAATATTTGGTGCAAATTTTAAAGAAAAAGTTACAAAATAACTCCAAATTAAATTTTTTTGCTTGTAAAAAAATTTATCTATTCGTCAAAGACAATTTAAATTTACCAGCTATTCAAAACATTTTTTACTGAAAAACTTCGGGGTAATGAAAATTGCTTATAACACAAGTAAGAAAAATTGAATAATTTTTTTAAGATCAGAAATATACATTTAACAAGGAGAAAAGAAACCAAAACTTTATATTCTGCATTAAAATGTCACAATAAATCTCACAAAAATTAGGAGAATTTCAATTGGCTCATGTCTGACCAAAAAAATCTTTTTTTTTTTTTTTTTTTTAAATTCTTTTTGAATAAACTTTATTTTGAGCAATTTTTTGGATGCAGGTAAGAATATTCTGCTCCAGCTGTCTAAGTTTCAGGACACTTTTTTCGATAACAGCCATGGACTTATATGTGGCACACTAACTCTACCTTTTGTTACATATCATATATTTATCAGATATGCAAATGTGGTTTTATGCTTTTGATGTCAAAAACTCAATTTGAAAAGACAATAAAAAATTACCCTTCATAATATAAAAACGAAAAGAAAAAAAAAACTGCAAATATATCAAGATCATCACTATTATTCATTTATTTTAATTAATTTGGAATGACATATTGATAAAAGCCAATTTGATTTAGATTATAATCACTTCATTGAGATTGGTTAGATATTATCATGTGGAGATCCATTGTGTTTGGTTATTTAATTCTTTATTAGTATGACTCTAAATTATCAGTGCAACCGCAGTAGCTATGTTTATTTTTGATATAGTACTATTTAATTAAAAGTGTATTCAAAATTTTCATTTTTCAGCTCACTTATAGGTAATATACATCTGAAAATACGGCTATTAATGTATAAATTTATTCTCAATTTTTAAATTTTCAAAACTATTATTTTTATTTACAAATAAATTATTATGATATTCCATTTTTTTGACACCTCTAACATGTTCATTCAAATATTTCAAGATCATCACTAAATTTTTTTCCAAATATGTCTCAATTTTAAATATTTCTTTTGATTAAACATAATAGTTCTTAACAAATTCCTCGCCATGTGTTCTTAAGAACTACTTTTTCTTAATTTATGTAAAAATTTGACACCCAGGATTAATAAATAAAAAAGATTTACTTAAAATCAACACCTAAAACAATGTAATTTATAATGCTTCTTCCAGCGTGAAAAAATTATAAGGGTGGAATTTTAAAATCAATGTTTGCACTCCCTGAGGTGTTAATTACAGCATTTTTGAAGACTTCAGACAGGGGGAAGGATGTAGGTATATTGTAGTAATAAAACAGGGGCTTGGACTACACAGCAACTAATATAGAGAGAAGAAAAAATCACTAAAATTATGGTGTATTTAAAAAAAAAATCATCTTGAAATTTTTTAAATATTTTCTTGCAATCTTAAAAAAAATAATTAAAAAATTTAATTAAAAGACATTTTACTCTTTGTGTGGAATTTTCACTGTGACCATTACGGCCTTTTCTGCAGTTTTGACGGAAATGAAAATAAATAAAAAATTAATGGTTCGATTTATCGAAACAAAAAAGGTGTGCCGTTACTTTCTGACAGGAAATGGAAAAAAGGCCTTGCATAGATAAAGTACCGAGAAAGCAAAATAATTTCA